CTCCCAGTGTTTCTCTTTCCCCCTGTATTAACTTGCCCAGAAATTCTCAGGTTTCCCAAAGCACCCCTCTCTGCCTCAGCCCAACTCCAGACAACTGTGCAAGTTCTGTGGCCCCGTGACCCACAGGAGCCAGAGGTGGACAGTACCAGCAGGAGAAAGGAGTCAGGATTACTTCATCTCAGGCTGACATACTCAGAACCTTCTATGGAAGGAAGGAAAGACAGATGAATGGAATGGATGACTGATAGATAAATGGATAGGTAGGGTAAGTAAAAGACAGGAAAAAGAAGGAGTCGATAAGTGGGTAGGAGGATGGTTGGTTGGATGGATAGACAGAATGTAGTGGGTGAAAGGAAGGAAGGAAGGGTGGGTAAATGAATGAATGGATGGGCAGATGGATGGATGGATAGATGGATGGTTGGTTGGTTGGATGGATAGACAGGATGGGGCAAGTGACAAGAAGGAAGGAAGGGTGGGTAAATGAATGCATGGATGGTTGGGTGGGCAGTTGGCTGGCTGGATGGTTGATTGGATGGATAGACAGAATGGGGTGGGTGAAAGGAAGGAAGAATGGGTGAATGAATGAATGAATGTTGGATGGGCAGACAGATGGTCAACTGGTTGAATGGATGGATGGAATGGGGTGAGTGAAAGGGAGGAAGGTTGGATGAGTGGTAGATGGAGAGAGAAGCAAGTGGTTGGTTCCAAAGAGATGAGTAAAAGGAAGGAAGAAGGGGTGGCTAAGTGGGTGGGTGAATGGATGGATGGGTAGACAGATGGCTGGAGTGACAAGGAGGACGGAAGGAATACTAGATGACAATGGCTGTTAGCAAGGGTGGGGCCTGTGAGGTGGGAGGATGCTCACACCAAATTGCCTTCCTGGAACATGTTTGTCTTTTTCTTCTCCATGAACTAACCTCCCAGCCTCTCCTAGAGAAATGCATTCTATTTTTAGTTCAGAGACATGAAGGTGTCCTTTGGAGCCTGTCTAATTGCAGTCCTTTTGCCCTCAGTGGACTTCTGTGGTCATGGGAAGTAACTGACGGAATCCCCCCTTATAAAACTCTCCCCGTATTTCAAGACGTCGATAAAACGGCCGAACTAGGGCTTTCCCAGAGATGTTCTAGGGGTTGAGAGAACACTTAAAAATATATATATTGTAGAAGTTTAAAACACTCTAATAATAAGAATTTAATCCATTGGAAACCATCTGAATATTTGCGTGTCTCCCCAACTAAACCCATTTTGTGCCCTTTCTGTTTACGTTCTGAGATTTCAAGCAAGTGGTGGATAAACTATTGCCATTCGCAACTCCTTGTCTTAAATCTCTTCTTGGAGGTACAGCACCCCTCTGGAGGTCAGCAGTGAGAGTTAGGTTTCCAAACCAGCCATTCAGAAATTTGTCTAAACCCTTTGAGGATCAATTTATTGACCCTGCCTGGTGGTGCAGTCAGTGCCAACTGAACTGCAGTGCTAGTAGCCAGGTGACCAACTGGGGTTCGGGTATCCAGGTTGGTCTGAAAATAATACGAGTGCATCAGCAAATGCCTAAGATCCAGAGGAGCTGGAGGGCTGGGAGAGGGGGATCATGACAAGACCCTGTCAAGGATTCTCTTTCTGGCTCATTCCCTTGTTTGTGCACGTGAGAATAAAATAAGTAAACTTTAAAAATAAGTAATAGTCTGAAAAAAAAAAAAAACAACTCATGTATGGGCCAGGCAGTAGACAGCAATGATGCAACGAACCTATGAAGAAAGGTCCCAGGTTCGCGACCCCAAACCTCCTTGTGCATGCGCACGCTGGCATATGTCCATAACCTAACCTGGCTGAGGTGGGTGGATTGCAGCATGGAGACCCTGTTGGGAGTGCCTGTCTTTGTCTCTATCTCCCTGTCTCTCTGCGTCTCTCTCAGAGAAAAAAGAAAGACTCAGTCAATCCACTCAGGGTTCCTGCCAAGGCTGCGTTCTGGCGTCCTGGCGTCCTGGAGTCCTGGCATAATTACTCCGTTATTACCTGCTGGGTGAGACGGTGTTTTCTGCTCAGACGGAGTCTCTCCACCTCTCTTCTGCGCTTCCTTCAGCGTGTGGCTGCAGCCAGGTGCAAGGTTTCCCTCGGCCTCTGTGCACCTCAAGGCCAGAACCGCCCAGTTGTTCCTACAGCTGGTGTTAATAATAATCCTGGGTCTGAGCTAGTGGCTGAGAAGGCAGCTGAGAGCATTCGGAATACAGGGCACCAAGATCCTGCCATTGATTCCATGGTGGCAGGAGGTGTCCTGCCGGACAGGATAGAGGAGACAGCTCATAAATAACACTCCATTGACTAATCATAAGTGGGCTCAGAAGCTACTGGTTTGCATAAGAGTAAGCTACGCCTCTTTTAAAAATCTTAGTGGGAGCTAGCTCCATGGCCTGGTGGCTAAAGCAGCCAGATCCTGCATGGCTGACTGTGCAGCTCACATCTTGCACCCAGCGGCCGGGAAAACTCGCCTGGTGCATGTGCCTTCCCAAAATCCCAAAAGGAGGGTAACATGGAGAAGGGATTGCAGCATGACCACTCTCAGTGGGGGTCGCTTCCTCCTGTTTCTCTCTGTGGTGAGAGCATATGCCTTCCAGGGGGGAAAAATGGATAAACCATAAAACATATTACTGGTAATTTGCTTTATATACTTTGGTGAAATCTGGGAGGCCAATAATTAAAAGATAAATGACTTTAAATACTGAATTTCTAACGGCAATCATATCGGAATGGTTTGCTTAATGACTACCTATTTAATGTTGTTACTCTCTCCTTCCAGATTGTTCTCTGGGGCCGGACTGAGAAATGCTTAAAGGAGACCACAGAAGAGATCCGGCAGATGGGTACCGAGTGCCACTACTTCATCTGTGACGTGGGCAACCGGGAGGAGGTGTACCAGACAGCCAAGGCTGTCCGCGAGAAGGTCAGTAGCCTGGGTGGGCCTGTCCTCAAGGTGGCTGAACGCAGGGTACCACCAGGCGGAGAGAACCTCCTTTCTGCAGCCTGGGAGCAAGCCCGGCTTAGGGCAGCCTGCTTTGTCCAGGGCGCCTTTGGAGACTCCTGGAGGCTGGCCCAAGCCACGTGGGTGAGGATGAGGGCTGATTATGTAGCAGGAGTAGTCCTCTGTGGTCCCCTTGCAAATTTAGACCTGTGGGTTTCTTTCCAAGACCCTGGGGGGCAAGTATATCCCATGGCCCTCTGAAATAATCCTTCTCACTCCTGCCACCTATTGGGACTGAGTATATAAGCAAACTTCAAGAGAGTGAAGAGGCCCACCTGTGTGGCACATGGCAACTATGTAACAGTCACCTCATTTATTCTAACTGCCATGTGCCAGGTATATTATATGTCATAAATTGTTTCTACTCCTCAGAATAACCCTGCAATGGTATTAGCTCCACCTTGCAACCAAGACTGAGGCTCAAAGAGGCTGTGTGGCTTCCCAAGGCCACATGGCTGGTGGTGGGCCCAGTTCGAACTCCCACAGGTGCAACCTCTGGGCTGGTTCCTTCATGGTGCCATGGCCCTCTCCTCTGCAGGTGGGTGACATCACCATCCTGGTGAACAATGCTGCCGTGGTGCACGGGAAGAGTTTGATGGACAGCGATGACGATGCCCTCCTCAAGTCCCAGCACATCAACACCCTGGGCCAGTTCTGGGTAAGGACTGTCATGCCAGCCCTGGGCATGAGGGAGCTCAAGCAGGGTAGGGTGGAGGGAGAGGTCACCAGGTTTGGCCTCAGGTCAGTGGGGATGTCCAAGGACAAGGTGGCCAGATCAAAGGAGTGACAGGCCCTAGGAGCCATAGAACTTCCTGAAATGCCAGCTCCATGTCCTATAGCAGGGACCCTCACCCGCCTCAGGAGTGCCCGGGCCCTGGAGTAGTGCGTGTGCCCAAGGCGGGCTGGTCTCTCAGGAAGGGGAGTGAAGGTAGAAGCTGCAACTCCCCCACCTAACCCCCCACCTACCTCCATCTGTTCTCAGACCACTAAGGCCTTCTTGCCGCGCATGCTGGAGTTGCAGAACGGCCACATCGTGTGCCTCAACTCCGTGCTGGCACTGTCTGCCATCCCCGGCGCCATCGACTACTGCACGTCCAAAGCGTCAGCCTTCGCCTTCATGGAGAGCCTAACCTTGGGGCTGCTGGACTGTCCAGGCGTCAGTGCCACCACTGTGCTGCCCTTCCACACCAGCACCGAGATGTTCCAGGGCATGAGGGTCAGGTCAGTATCGGGGACTGGCACTGTGTGCGCTCTAGCAGAACAGCCCAGAAGCACTGGCCTTTGGGCTTTGATTTTCCTCCCGCAAGGCAGTGGGAAGTGCAGTGGGTTCGAATCCTGCTTCTCAGCTCAGGGAGCTTATAGAAAATACCATCACTAGGTGTGTGCAATGGAATACCTCCCAACGATGAAAAGAGAAGCAACCGTCAGTACCTGAGCAACATGGGTGACTGTCAGGAGCATTATGCAGAGTGAAAGGAGCCAGAGACAAAAGGGCATATTCTGTGTGATTCTATTTGTGCAGTTTTAGAACAGGCAAAACTGGACTACAGTGATAGAAATCAGAGTGGTGGCTACCCCTGGAGGGGGGAGGACACAGTCTGGGACAGAGCCCATGGGAACCTTCTAGGCTTTTAGAAATGCTATCTTGGCCCAGCCCCTATGGTGCAGTGCTAATGCAAGTGCCTGCAAAGCTGGAAGCCATACAACTATCACAGGTTTGGATCCCTGGGTCAGCCTGAAAACATGCCAGGTACACACATGGGTGAGTGCCCAGGATCCTGAGGAGCTGGAGGGTTGGAGGGCTGTGGATAGGGAACGTGGCAGGACCAGAATCCCCTGCTGAGGGTGCTTCTCTCTCGGTCTCTCACACACACTCTCCATCATTAAAAAACTTTCTTCTTGATCTGGTGGTAGTTAGTTAAGTACTCAAGCTGTGTACTTAAGATCAACATCTTTTGGGCCAGCCCCCATAGAAGCACAGTTAAGTGCTACATAGAAGAAGTCAAATCCCTTATAACCAAACGGTTCAAGTCCCAGCCCTGGCAGTTTGAAAAACAAGCCAGGCACACTCATGTGCATGTCTAGGGTCCTGATGGGATGGAGAATTGGAAGAAAATGAATTGTAATGTGACTAGGCCCATTGGGGGGCGCTTTCTCTCTCCACACACTCACACAGCCATATGTGCCCTCCTTTTTTCTCTCTCTCTCTTTAAAGATTTATACCTTTTATTATATGCAAATTAGATTTCAATATAAAGAAATGGACCGGGCCCCACCACTGTGGTGCAAGCCATAGTGTGCAGCTCTGCAGCACTGGAAGTCACCTGGTCAACCACAGGATCGCATCGCCACAGACCCAAAACATGCTGGGTGCTTGTGCCCAGGGTCCTGTCTGGCTGAAGGGTTGGGGGAAGGGAGTCAATGTGTGAAGAGACCCTGCCAGGGCTGCCTTTCTCTCTCCCTCTCTCTTGCTCTCTCTCTTTTGAAATAAATAAATTAGAATAATAATAATAAAGAAATGTAGAGGCCCATTCACTCCAGACCAATTAAATCGGGGGATGGGGACCCTTGGCTTCAAGGTCACACTTGGGAGCCAGGCATGGAGGTGGTGACTGCCACGTAGCTGTGGTGTGCTGGGCAACGCTGGGTCCAGTTAGCTACTGCTCTGGCCTGCATTGCCCACCTGTGAAATGGGTGCTGAGAATTCTGATCTCGGTTTCTACGGTGAGGGTGAAATGGGATCTGGCGTGGAACACCGTATGTGCTGTGTGTTAAGTACCCCATAGACAGCAGTCATGTGGAGTTCTAGATAATGACAACTGAAGATGATCCGGAAACTCTTTTCCCTTGTTTTGTTTTTTTTCTTCAATCTGGCATGCGACTACCTTCTGAATTATATGCTTCAGCTTCTTCCCAAAATGAGGATAGCATGGAAGGGTCATCTGAGAATGAAGTGAAACCACTTAGCTTAGTGCACACCATGTGGGGATCACTCAGTGCGCCTTCGTTATTATTAACAGGGCCTGTGGTTTGGTGGTCAAGAAGCTAAAGCGCCTGGTTTTAAGTCACATCTGAGCTACCGTTCAGCTGTAAACATTGGGCTGCTTTTGTTACTTCCCCGACTTGACTTTGCCCATCTGTAAAACGGTGGAAATAGTTGCCTTGCAGAGTGTTTGAGGAAATTAGAAATAGTAGTACGTGGAAAGTGTCTAGTGCAAAGCTCTGGACGTACATGCTCAAGACAGAGCTGTGGTTTCATTATGTTTTCAACAGTAAAAATGTCCTCATAAATGCACTTGTTAGGAATTTCCTAGCAGACCCTATCTCCAGAGTTCCTCGGAGAAGCGTGTGTTTCACTAGCTTAGATGTAACTTAGCATCAGCTCTGGATTTACAGGAGGCCGGACTACTGACTTGAGGTGTCTCCGTGGCTTTTTTCCTCATGAAGACTCGATTTGGTTTCTTTCCATCTGAGGACACAGGAGGTGCGCAGTTAATGCACCCTGGGCAGAAGTGCAGCAGTGGCCATCCGCGTTTCCATCCTGCCCTGAGCAGGAGTGGGTGGGACGTCACAGACATCCCATCTGTGTGTCTTGTTCAGCTTCTGGCGTAGTTTCCTCTCCACCGCTTTCAGAAGGAAATTCAAGGTTTCCTGGAGTCATTTTTCCACGGTGGCTCAGAGTATGGACCCAAACTGCTTGGGGGGGTCAGATCTCAGCTCTGTGTGACCTTGGGCAAGTTACTTAACTTGCCTATACCTCAGTTTCCTCCTCTGTAAAAGGGGATTAATAATAGCACCTTCACTCACTCTGTGAGTCAGAGGAGCTCACAGGTGTGAATCGACTAACCATGCCTGGCAAGGCGTGAGCACCAGGTGGATATTATCGGGCTGTCAGAAAAGTCATGGTATATTTTTTCTATGTTTTTCTATGTAAAATTGCGTCATGACTTTCCCAACAAGCCAGTAGTTACCTGCTTGTTAACGTTCCCCTCGCGCTCATGTTTAGTAGCTTCCCAGGATGGAAGATGGGAGACCTGCTTGCCGATGGGTGGGCGCTGCTGTTTGTAATCGCTACTTATTGAGCCTCTTCTATGTTCCAGCCGGACACCACCAGACGCTTTACAAACACAGCTGCATTTGACCCTCACAGCATCCCTGCAAGGGAGCTCTGAGCCCCATTTTACAGATGAGGGAACTAAAGCTCAGAGAAGCCCAAGGCTGCACGGCTAGGAATTGGCAAGCTGAGCATGTGAGACTTCCCAAGAGTTTGTGCTGCCTCCATGGAGTTACAACCCCTGCCAGTTCCCTGTATACCCATCCCACCAACTATAGAGAGGAAGGAGGAATCCCCCCAGCAGTTGCACTTGAGGTTTCATCAGGTTCTCCTGTAGGGTCTATAGGAAGATTCCCCCCAACCCCACAAGCCCATGGAAATAGGACTGGCCTGAGGTGAAGGCTGGAAAATCCAGACCATCGCCAGGTCTATAGGATTCCAATACTAGTGAGCTGCCCCAACGTGAATCTCTGTAGAACCTGGGGGCTGGCCAGTCCAGACTGTGTGTGTGTGGGGGGGCGGGGGTGGGGGCC